CACCGCGCCATGCAATGTAAAAATGAAATACTCGAAACGAGACTCGAAACGAGAAACGAGCGTGGAGCGTTTAATGTGCGCTAATCACTGCGCGGGACGCATCCAGCATTTTATAGAACCGCCTTGCCTCCACCACATCTGCTTGACTCCGGCCGACTACGGCCGTGCGGGGACAAAAAAAAAGAAGACCGACAACAGTGGGGGAGCCGCAGGCCGCAGCCAGAGCAGCACGATTGAGTGCACTATGAGTGAATTGGTCAAGGCAAAGACCGCACGACAGAAGGTCTCTGTTAATCACAGTTTTTTTTGCGAGAAAATTGTTTAAAAGTCTAGCTTTGTGGCCACGTGACTATGGCTCTCTGGGATGACAACTGAACGAGCCTCCATAACCCGCGTGACCCAGTGTGCCCCCCTTCCTGCGACGCCCTGCAACGCACTACGCATCGCCGGGCCGCGCCCGCTTGCTTTATCTAACGACACATTGTCTGTCTCTGTCGCACGCGTCGCACCTTGCGTCGCACGGCCAGACACCCCACTTGCCCCACTGCAAATAAAGTCGCGAGGCGCGGCTCCGCCTTGGCTCCGGCGGTCCAGTTTCGGAGGAGCGCCGCACAGTGCACTGCACAGTGGGCCAGAAGACCGGTGGAGGCGGCGAAAACTCCAGACGCGTTTTGAGCTCCAGAGTCGCTAAATGGAACTCGAACTGGACGTGTGACCTCACCAATGGATTGCTCTCCGAATGAGGAATCTATTGGTGGGGTCACACGTTCGGTTCGAGTCCCATTTAGCGACACTAGGGCTCAAAGCGCGTCTAGGATTTCAGCCGCCTCCACCGGTCTTCTGGCCCACTGTGCCGGAGGGCCTCAGAGCGAGAGAGACAGAGAGAGGCGCCACAAGCGGGGCTAATGAGTGATCAACAGGCGCTGTCTGGAAGAAAGCGCGACTCGCGGCTTTTGGCTGGCGGCCTGGCGCTGGCGGCTCTTGGCCGGAACCGCGAAAAGTGAAATGACAGATAGGCATCCCGGCCGGTCTCCCAGTCGGTCTGCCAGTGGCGCCACCACGCCGCCACTCGGCGCGTCGCGTTTATCACGTGCCTATCGGGACCGAGACGGCACGGCTGAAAAGACCAGCTTCAAATTTCCGAGTCTGTCGGGAGGAATTTTTTTTCCCCCAGGGTGCGTTCTAATAGCTTCCGTTCGCGGAGCCGCCTCTCCATCCGGAGGCCCAGCTCCGCTTCGGCGCCCCACATGCAGAGCGTGTCTAGAGTGCCGGGAGTTCAGGGAGTGCCGGGAGTTGGGAGTGCCGAGAGTGCCGGGAGTTCTGGGAGTGTCGAGAGTGCCGGGAGTTGGGAGTGCCGAGATGGGAGTGGCGGAGAGCGTCATCGTTAACCTCCACGCGGACAGCGGCAAACTAGCGGCCGGCTGGCCGGCGCGGCCGGATCGAACAGAAGCGGCGTTTAGTTGTTTTCTCCGTCGTCCGTCCGTCCGTCGCGCGGCCTTTAATGACGCCCGAGGCGAAACTTTGCCAAGGACTCATCCTGCAGGCCGTAGGCCGTCTCTGTCGCACTCGCGGCGCGTCCCCCGGGGGTGCGAGAGAGACAGAGCGAGACTCCTCAGAATCGCTCGGCTGACCCCGGCCGCCCCGGCGACCCCGCAGCCCTCGGCCACCACTGCAGTGGCGTGGCACGGCGTGGCACGGCGTGGCACAGTCCGGCAGGAACGGGGCGTGGCGGGTCCTTTGTATTCCAATAGGGAGATGCCCTTGCCGCGCCGTGCCGTGCCGAGCCGTGCCGAGCCCACTTAGGCCTCCCTCGGTTTGTTTCCGAGATTCCGTCCCATTCCCCGATCTCTCCATTATCGCTCACCAGCAGACCGATTCCGAGAGTCGTTTTCGTCGCTCTGTCTCTCTCGCACTCATGGGGCGTGCCGTGTGGGTGCGAGAGAGACAGAGCAACGAAAACGACCCTCGGAATCAGTCTACAGCCACCAGCCAGCACGTCCTCACCGCCGGTTAAGTAAAAATAAAACAATGATAATTTTTTTTCTTTTAAATGCCACTAAAATGAATATGCACGCTAGTCACATGGGCCGGGCCGGGCAGGCTTGCGGTGGTTACGACAGAGGTAGGTTATGGCAGCCGTCGGCCCACTCAGGCAGCAGCAGACTGATTCCGAGAGTCGTTTTCGTCGCTCCGTCTCTCCCGCACTCACGGGACGCCCCGTACGGGTGCGAGTGAGACAGAGCGACGAAAGCGACTCTCGGATAATCAGTCAGCCGGCGGCCCTCCACACACCATAAAATTCGGACCAGGAAGGCCCAGCCATGCATGCGCTGCACAAAAGAGGAGCTGCACTGGAAAAAAGGGGGGGGTAAAGAAACTGCTTGCAACCAAACTGCTGCGCTAAAATACCGCCCAAAATTGCAAAAGATATTTCTTTATGGCTAGTTAACTATTTGGCAGAAAAATGGGAATCAGTTGGGGCAGATGCATGCAGCGCGTGGCGTGCAGGATCTCCACGCAGGAGCCGAGTGTCACCCGTTTGCAGGCCACTCGTCTAGCCGGCGTCCCTTTCAGGCCGTCCAGGCCGGGGACTTCCAGGCCTTCCAGGCGCCGGAGAAGTCGGCTGGAGAAACGCAACAAAACATGCGAGGGGACGGACGCCACGGCGGCCACGGCGGCACGGCGACGGCACAGACGCAGCAGAGTCCGCTTCCACCGGCAGCACGGCCATCATGCAGTTGGAAAAGCACATTACAACGCACCGGGCTGTGTGCGTGTGTGTGTGTGTGTGTGCACAGCACACCAACATGTAAAACGACCTCCGTGAGCTTGACTCAGATGCCATTGCCTGGCTACGCGTCGAACATCATCGTCGGCCTGGCGGGCCTTTCTACCCGGGCTGGCCATCTCTTTTAATTTCTTATTCACTCACTCTCATTCATACAGACGCGTCCATTTCACCCCAATTTCGCAACCGGCGCTGCCACAATCTAAAAGCCAATTCCACGAGTCATCGCCTCAAATAGAGCGGAACGACTCGATAAATTAACGGATAATTTTTATCGTTATCGCCGCTTGAAACGTTTTTTTTCTCTCTCTCTCTCCTCTGCTCGCGTAACGGCGCGGCGAGCCGTTTTTACGACGGTCGCCGACGCCCAAGGGCTGTCATATCGGTGACCGTTAGTGTCGCCGCACCGCACGCACCTCGCGTCCACGCCGCTTCCTGCCTCCCTGCCTGTCCGCAGCACCGCAGGGGCGGATCCAGGGTCCCCCAAGGAGGGGGTCACGCTGCGGTTTTTGCCCCGGCAACAAGCAGTTGCGTTTGCCTACCTTTCGGGCGGCCCAACTCCTCGAACCCAAGGAGGGAGTAGGCTCGGACTGGCTCCCAAAAGGCCCCAGCGGATAAGACCGCTAAAGGCCCCCGATCGACATTATGTTTTTACCCTACATGACCAACTTTGTGAGGCTACCGCTCGCAAACTAGTTGCGGTCAATAGCCTTCCCGATACAGGGCATGAAAGGGTAGGGTCTTAAGAATACTAGGACGTCGAGGGAAGCCTTTTACGACGACTAGATTGGACACAGTGGCCACCCAAAGTCAGCAAAATCGGCAAATTTCCGAGATTCGACCACTTTTTGACCAACTTGGTCGGAAAATCGTTGCGGTCAAAGCCAAAATCGTTGTGGTCAACGTCTTCCCGATACAGGGCATGAAAGGGTAGGGTCTTAAGAATACTAGGACGTCGAGGGAAGCCTTTTACGACGACTAGATTGGACACAGTGGCCACCCAAAGTCAGCAAAATCGGCAAATTTCCGAGATTCGACCACTTTTTGACCAACTTGGTCGGAAAATCGTTGCGGTCAAAGCCAAAATCGTTGTGGTCAACGTCTTCCCGATACAGGGCATGAAAGAGCAGGGTCTTAAGAATACTAGGACGTCGAGGGAAGCCTTTTACGACGACTAGATTGGACACAGTGGCCACCCAAAGTCAGCAAAATCGGCAAATTTCCGAGATTCGACCACTTTTTGACCAACTTGGTCGGAAAATCGTTGCGGTCAAAGCCAAAATCGTTGTGGTCAACGTCTTCCCGATACAGGGCATGAAAGAGCAGGGTCTTAAGAATACTAGGACGTCGAGGGAAGCCTTTTACGGCGACTAGATTGGACACAGTGGCCACCCAAAGTCAGCAAAATCGGCAAATTTCCGAGATTCGACCACTTTTTGACCAACTTGGTCGGAAAATCGTTGCGGTCAAAGCCAAAATCGTTGTGGTCAACGTCTTCCCGATACAGGGCATGAAAGAGTAGGGTCTTAAGAATACTAGGACGTCGGGAAGCCTTTTACGGCGACTAGATTGGACACAGTGGCCACCCAAAGTCAGCAAAATCGGCAAATTCCGAGATTCGACCACTTTTTGACCAACTTGGTCGGAAAATCGTTGCGGTCAAAGCCAAAATCGTTGTGGTCAACGTCTTCCCGATACAGGGCATGAAAGAGTAGGGTCTTAAGAATACTAGGACGTCGAGGGAGGCCGTTGGCCGCACTAGATCGGACGCAGTGGCCGCCCAAAATCAGCGAAAACGGCTACTTTCGGAGGTTCAGTCACTCTTTTTTTGACCAACTTTGTGACGTTACTGGTCCCAAACCCGAAGGCCCCGGCAGATTTTTCTGCCTGTCTGCCCTGGCCAGCCCGAGCTTGGGAGGGAGTAGTTACCCCCATTTACCCCTCCCCCCTCTGGATCCGCGCCTGGCTGTCCGAGAGTCCACTGCAGTTGCTGTTTCCTCGCACCCCTTGCTTTCCGCCTCCAACTCGCGGTGCGCCTCTTGGCGACCTCAACGCACGACGCAGTCTGAAGGACCGCTTTGACAACCCCTCCGCTGTAGCGTCTGCTCTGGGCCCCAAAGCAAGAGGGAGCCACCCTGCCCCAGGGGGTATATAACGCGTTGACTAGGGTCCTCCCAAGTGCGAATGCCACCGCCGTGACGACAACCCTCACCTTGCTCGGCGACTTCGCTGCTGGGGGCGACGCCGGGCGATGCGACGAATGGCGAGACAATCCGAAAAGTTATTCACTGGCGTCGTCCGCTGGGCCGCGTCACGCGCACATGCTGCACTGGTATCACTGAATCACTCTCACTCACTCACACACACTCTCACTGCAGCCCGGGGCTAGCAGCGCCACTCCACTGTCATGTCGACGGCGACGTCGCGGGGCTTGGCGGTTGGTGGCGGTGCCGCCTCGGGGGGTTCGGGGGCTCGGGGGTCTCGTCGGCGTGCGTGCCGGTGCTGCCGGTGCTGCCGTGGGGGCGGCGAGACGGCCGGACGGAACGCGAGACGGTGCGGCTCCTCTCGCCACTTGCAACAGACTGGCCGCGCCAAGCCAGGGGCCACGCCACGCCGCCAAGCGCGGAGCGGGGCGCGGAGCACGCCAAGCGCCAGCCAGCCAGCCAGCCAGCCAGCCAGCCGTCCGGTGGAGGGGAGGGAGGGGAGGAGAGGGGGGCGTGGTACGCGCTTCGAAAGCAAAAGTGACAAGTGGCCCCGCGACCCGCGCCGCCTCGCGCCGCCACGCCCTGCCGCCCCCGCCCCCCGCGCTCCCCGCCGGGCCCGCCGGCCGCGGTTCGACTGGTCTGGGCCTGGTCTTGGGCCGCCGCGCCAGCCCCGCCAGCCCGGCCGGCGGCCCGGCCAGACACGAGCCACGCATTGCACATGAACCGAAAAGCGAACGACGGCCGGCCGGGCTGGCTGGACGGGGAGCGGCCCTGCTGGACGACACAATCAAAGATTGGGCAAATGTTGCGATGGCGACGCGGCGACGCGGCGACGACGCTGCTGCTCGTCCTGCCGTCCAGGCACCGCGGAGTGCGAGCCCGCCAGCGGGTTCGCACTCCCAACGGTCGCTCTGTCTCTGTCACTGGACGCCACACATGAGTGCCGCAGAGACAGAGCGAAGCACAGCGACGAAAGCTCTGTTCGGGATCGGGCCGCGGGAGTGGCAGTTTGGCACGTGCGGCTCGCGCGACGCGACGAAAGACGCGTAACTGCAGACGGATTCCGAGAGTCGTTCTCGCCGCTCCGTCTCTCTCGCACCTATACGGGACGCCACATGAGTGCGAGAGAGTCCGCTGGCCCTGCACCCTGCCACCCTGCAGCCCGGGGTTGTTGCGTCGTCGGCTCTCCGGCCGCATACCGGTACTGCTGATTTTGGAGGGCCTTTGTGGCCCCGACGTGTGATTCAGAAGAGCGGCACGTCTCTCTGTCTCTCTCGCACCCGCGCGCGACCAGTGAGTGCGACAGAGACAGAGCGACGACTCAAAGGGACACAAAGGAGCCACCTGGGCCACCTGGCAGGACCAGGGGCCGTAGGTTCATGCGTGCCTGGCGCGGGAACCCGAACTCCTTTCTCTCTCGCACCCCTTCGGAACGCCCTGTGAGTGCGAGAGAGAGCGACGAGAGCACTTACAAGCTTAGCGGGACAAATTTTGGGCCGGGGTGGTTCAAGCGGCAGGGGCGGCAGGTAACCGAGTACGAATGATGGGGGAAGGGGGGGGGGGGTACTAGGTACCGTGCCGCTTGCTTCGCCTGCTGCAGGGCTGCAGGCTGGATGGCAAATGAAGGATGTCGAAAGGTCCCAGCCCACCGTGCGAACCGCCCGTACCCCCGTCCCCCCGCACCGCAGAACCTGGCCCGGTACGGCACACTCAGCCTGAATATTTAATTAATTGACCCAAAACGACCGTGCCTGCCCTCTTTTTCAAAAATAAATTCAATTTTGTTGGCTGGCCGTTGCAACTGTCCGATTTGGAGGCTGAAGAAGGCTGCTGTTGTCGGGAGGACGTCCAGTCCATTCCGTTGCATTCCGAAAGCGGCACGCACACACTGGACAATAGACAATGCACGAGGGTGGAGCGCCGCGGCACAGCGCACTATCATACAGTGATTGGTCACTGCCGACAGATAGCCGCGACAAGGCAGCCGAAGGCAGCGCCATCTCTCGTCGGAAGGCCGAACCCTGCCAATTGACAGGAAGCTGGCTGCGCCGGCGAGGTTATGGTTTCGCGTTTTGAATTTCGCACCCCTGCGGTCGCGATGGGGGCGGTCCTGGCCAGGACCTGGGTGTGCCTCCAGCGGCCTCCAGCGGGCTGGGGCTGCCCATGCCGGCCCATGCCGGCCCATGCTGCCACTCCAGAACCGCGTTCCACTTCCAGCGTGCTTCCAGACTTCCAGCGCGCTGCGCGCAAGGCGCGTGGCCACGCCTGGCGCGGCACGGCCAGGGCACGGCCGGCAGTCGTTTACGTCACAGACCTGTGTGTTTCGAATTTGTTGTGCTTCTGCTGTCTGCCTGCCTCCGGCCTGCCAGTCGGTCTGCCTGTCCGTCTCGGCGCGGGGTCGGGACTGTGTCGCACAGTGGGCCAGAAGACCGGAGGAGGCGGCCAAAACTCCTGACGCGTTTTGAGCTCCAGAGTCGCTAAACGGGACTCGAACCGAACATGTGACCACACCAATGGATTGCTCTCCAAACGAGGAATCCATTGGTGGGGTCACACGTCTGTTTCGAGTCCTGTTTAGCGACTCTGGAGCTCAAAACGCGTCTAGAGTTTTGGCCGCCGCCTCCGGCCTGTCTTCTGGCCCACTGTAGGTCGGGGCGCGGCGGCGCGGCCTGCCTCTGATTGTGCACGCTGTGCCACGCACCCCGCACATCGTTTGTCTGTCGTTCGGCACCTTTATGACACCTGTCTGGCAGGCAGGCTGATTCCGAACCGCCCTCCGTCGCTCCAACTCTTTCGCACTCACGGGGCGTCGCGTAGGGGTGGGTGGGTGCGAGCGAGAGAGGCAGAGCGACGATGCATTGTTTGAAATCAGCCAGTGGCCTCCCACCGGCCGTTGAATCATGAAGACTGAAGAATGAATGCGGACATGCGCACTACATTCTCGGCGTCTCGGCGCAACAATCGCAACATCCGGCCTCGCCGTTCAAACCGGCAAACCGGTGCAACATCGCTCAGCGGCGGGCAGCGCCTGGATTAGGCTAGAGAGCGAAGCGGAGCTAGGCCTCCGGGACGCCGACCCCGCCCGAACAGCAGTCCGTCTCTCTCGCCACCCTCTGTGGGACTTGCCGCGGGTCCTCTCGGAGTCAGCCTCCGGCACGGCCTCCAGGGACGAGGCGCGCCAAACTGGAGACGAGTCTCTGCCCCGACACGACTCCCGGAATCGGGTTTCGGTGCAGCCGGTGCAGCTTGCAGCGGGTCGGCGAGTGCGCGCGGAATCTGGGACGCAGCCTTGTAGGGGGCGCTGGGACGACTTGGAGCTCCAGGCCAAGCCGCCAAGTCGAAAGGGGGCAACAGGGGTTGGGTTTGACGTTTTGACCAGTTTCGACCCGCCAGCGCGGTTGGCGGCATTTACATATGGACGTCCGGACGTTCGGCAGGCAGGGTTTGGCATCGTGGAGGGCGCTGCTTGTTCGGGTAGCCGCTGCCCCGCCGCGTGGGCCCCACCACCACCACGTGCCACCACGCCCCTCGCCGGTCACGTAACGCGATGCGCGCACGCATACACACACACATATACACACACACACACACACACACACACACACCTCTTTTTCGTGTGGGGTCACGGTGGGTGCGGTGAGTAGCGACGGGTGCACTTGACCGACGGACGAATTTTTGTGAAATGAAATATGTGTCGTCAACTCGTGAGTAGTTTGTGTTTGCACCTATTGAGAATAAATTGGTAGAAATTTGCCTCTGGAATAGTGAGTTTCAGCGAGCCGATTCGGAACCGCAGCGCCGGCCGCCTGCAAAGTGCGGGATAGGCAGCCGCGTGGCAAACTCACGCCGGCTTAACGGGACTGCCTACCTCACAGGCGACAGCACCCAAACAACTTTTTTGTTTGTTTGAGGGAACTAATTTAAACATTGGAAAGTGAGTCGTTATGTAGCTCTAGTCATTTAAATGGAGGGAAAGGTTTTTTGAAAATACAATTCCAGATAAGTATCATTGTCGTTTTATTGACAGGTGCAATTATTGACAACCTAGACACTACAAAAAATATTCCCAAAGGCTAAAAATATCACAAAACCTTATATCTACACAATTAAGCTAAACACAATACTCCATAGGTGTAGGTATGTTATCACTATGTACCACATATTAATCAGAAACCATGGGACAAGACTATGGGCCATTAGAAAATAGTGGGTAAGTAGAACTACAGCATTTTCCGTCACGGGTATGACAGTAAGAAGCTTGGAGAAGAAGAAATGCATGCTTCAATTGAAGAGGAAAATTGCTTGCACAAGTGATTATACCTGTCATTTCACAAAAACCTGGATTAGTGCAGGATTTTGTGAGTCAAACTTCAGGCCAGCAATGCAGGTTTGCTGATTTTGAAATTGATGTATGTTTAGCTGTCATGTAAATTTTAATATTTTGCAAATAAATCAAGCTTTCTCAAGAAATGTCACTGCGCATAAAGTGTCTTCATTTTAGATAAAAACACTCCAAGCCAAGAAAATAATTTAAGTGCAAAGTGCGTTCATCTTATGTCAAGAAAAAAATATTATAAAGTACACTGTTGAAGTGAAGGCCATAAATAATTATTACTAATTTGCGCTCAGTTTATAAGGCACATATTAATATACACATTCATGTCTTAAACCATCACAACAGATTTCATTATTTGATTGCTCACTACACACCAATATTGAGAGTATGTCCGCACCCGACAAGGACTGTCTCTTACTACCTGTTAAGAGGTACAAGAACCACAAAACCTTAATTTAAAGTGCAGACGCAGATTGCTCTGCACAAACAAAAAAAGAAGAAAAGGAACACGTTGTGAGTATTTTTTCATTACTTAACCATCACACTGTTCAACAGTAGAATTAGGTACATGGATGTGTTAACAAAACAGTCCAATGCTAAAATAACACTCCAGCACGTAATAACTTTAGGCCATATCAGACAGAATACTGAAACATATTGAAAGTACACCATCGCATACTGGAGTGAAACATAGGTATAAAGAGTTCTGAACAGGAGTTAAACTCATCAAAGCAAGGCACAACCTACAAGACCAAGTAAATTTGAAAAACAAATTTACTATACATATAATTCTACAAAATGCACATAAATAATACTCACTTCTAGTAGTCTAGAAATTGAAACAGGAAAAATAGAAGTCCTTAAAAATTAGGAGAAAAATAAGGGTGTAATCAGTACTAAGAAAAAGTTCCACAATGGGCGTGTCAACTATTCAATAAACATTTTAAATACATAACTTGGGAATGTACACTAATTAACATGAACACATTAAAAATCATTGAAAATGTGGGTTGGATAACAAATTGCGAACCCAAAGTTGAGGAAAATTATATGGATTATACGGAGGTATACGGATTATCAAACTCATGCAAGAGGCAAAATCATTTAAGTTCTTGTTTTGCTTGAACACTATGACACCATAAACACAAAGGCATATCTCAGTCTTTTAGGGACTTGAATGGCTTGATTTACAATTTTCTACAAACCTTTATCAATACTCATATTTATCACAAGTTGGAGGAAAGAAGTATCACAAGTAACTCTCTGTCCCGGGGAATTGCAAATAAATTTTTTGACAACATACTGTAGAAAGGGTAAGGGAGTTATTTAGACAGTCACTGTGATTTAGCAAACAATACATTTGTTTGGTTTATAAAGAAAGTCTATTTAGGCTACAATTAGCAATGATTAGTAAAGGCACAACACTGATGTTTGTGAGGTTGATATGAATGATTTGATACCATCATTTTTAAAATGACAAGATTTGCTGATAAAGTTAGCTGAACTTTGATTATGTACATAGTTTGCATTTCAAATGCAATAGGACAACAAAGCAAAAACAAGAACTAAGTATAACAATACAGCCATGTGTGCCCATCTTCAATGGAAGAACCAAGACATATACAAATATTACATTCAAAGAAAATACTTTTTGTAAATAAGTACATGATAAAGAGACAGGATGTCTTTAATACAAAGTATTAGTAATCACATTACCCAAAAGCAGGCTGAGAATTTTAAAACTCTAGAATCACAAAACGATAAAAGGAGCATGATTGAAGGCATTCAGCTACTCTTCAATCATCACTTGTGCCATTGACATATGATAAACAACCATCAAGTAGCATTTACTGTAAATTATGCATGGACGAGGAAGGTTCAGTACAGCTCCCCTGTGAATACTAAAATAGTGATTAACGATTTCTGATAAGTGAGTAAGTTGAGTCTTTGCTATATTCAGAATAGACAAACTCAGGGCATAGTAGAATAACAAGCTACAACAGCCACCGGCTGGCATGTGATAATCTCTTGTACTCACAGATGAGAAAGACTAATTATAATAATAGAACACAGTCAAAACTGAAAAGACACAGTTAGTGATATTTTATATCACTACATTTGCCTGAAGAGAAAATAATCATATCAAGAGTATTATAGTTTTTTGAACTAGACGGTTTTAAGTAGTTACAATACATAATTATGATATTATACAACATCGTCTTGAGCGAGCATCTTCCACTACATCACTTGTATTTCCAGCAAAACGTTTTACACATCCTGGAGGAGGAAGTCCTGCCGCATCAGCAGCAGCCAACAGATTTCCATTTGAGCCTGCTGCATTTGCAGCAGCACTGTGGCTTTGAACAGTACCATTACGAATTGATGCTCTCTGTTTCTTGAGATCAGCCAAGGTCCCTGCGTTGATTGTCACAGAAACATGAATATTGATCTTCCCATTAGTGTCTGTAACATAGGCAGCTTCAGCTGGGAGGTCTGAAATAACAAAGAGGACCAAAAAGTCAGTACAGAGAATAGAAGGAAATTAAGAACTAAAAAGCACACGCACACTTTTAACAAATGACAGAAATTTACCTAATGGAGCGGGAGACCCTGCGAGTGAATTAGTTGGTGATGATGGTACTACACTGCTGCTCTCACATGATGCCTGCGAGTCATTGTCTCTACCTTCTGGTAGAGATCTACGCCCGGGAGGGCTGGAAGTGGGGCTTGGCTTGTCTTTGTCATCAACTGTCGGGGAGACTTGAGCACTGGACTGCAATGGCATGGAAGCGGGATTCTGCATTGGAGACTGTGGAGGTGATCTCACAGGTGTTTGGGGTGGTGATCGGACAGGCGTCTGAGGCGGAGACCTGACAGGCGTCTGAGAGGGAGAGACAACAGGAACAGGGACAGGGGCTTGCTGGCGGACCATAGTCGCTCCAGGAGACTGGTTTGAAGTGCGCGGCGCAGGCATTGGAGTAGATGAAGGTGGTCCATCTACATTGTCGACTGGCACAATGAAAACCTGCAAAAAATGTGTAATTAATGAAAATTTGGTGTCCTTGCATACTTAAGTAATATGATGGGGCTGGTCAATGAAAAATATAAGCTTGCCTCTTGAGCTTGAAGACGTAATCTGGCCTCTTCTTGAGCATCCTTCTTGGTAGTAAGTGTTTTGTCTCGTATTGATGTGCGTCTCACTGATTGAGTACGAGTGTTCGACTGAGACCGCCTCACACGCTTACGTTGAGCTTCAGCTGCTTTCTTTGTTTCCTGTTCACTCTTCAGTTGAATAATTCTTTCACGCAGTTCTGCATCTTCACATATATCTGTGGAATAAAATTTAGATTTTAAAAAATGCCAAATTTAAGGTTATAAAAAAAATTATTAGTGATCTTTTTAAAAATCTAGTAGTCTTACCAGCAGGTGTTTCCTCATGTTTTGTTTTAGCATTGAGATCAGCACCATTTTGGACAAGAAGCTCCAATACTTCCATCTGGAAAGAACAGTGGCTTTCAGTTCATCAAATTTATAAAATTATGTAAAAAGGAAATTTTTGTTCAGATTGATAATGAATAATAATTTATGTACTGGCAGATGATTACTCACATGTCCCCAACATGCTGCTGCGTGCACTGGGTGCCAATCGTCATTATCTCGTACATCAGTTGATACATGCTGATCTAAGAGAAACTCCACAACCCGTATATAGCCATTTGCTGCTGCTATGTGAAGCTGGAAAAGAGAGTAAATGTTATGGGTGTGATAGAAATAAGCACTCAGGATAGAGCAGCTGGTAATGAATTTTGATTATCCTTACTGGAGTGGCTCCCTGGTGATCATGGTCTTCCAAGCCTTGCGTCCCATGCTTAGCTACATGTTGCTCTAGATCCTGCAGCATTTTCAGCTCTGTGGCGGCTCGAGTATCATCAATAAGTTCTTGAGTTACTCCACGAGCAGCCATTGCACTTTCTATGTGATCTAATGCAGCCTCATCTTCACAAATATCATAGGGCATGTTTCCATCAGCATTCACTGCTAGAAGATTTGCCCCACTAAAATATGCAACATAGAAAATGGGTTTGATAAAGTAGGACAATGTTAGAATATTGTTTATGATGAAAAGGTTACTTGACTTGAAATTGGAACTGAGTCATCACCTATTAATAAGATATCGAACAAGGTGCAAATGACCACAGGTAGCGGCAGCGTGCAAGGGTGTCCATTTCTCACTGTCTTCTGCATTTACATTTGCCCCATAATCAAGCAAAAGTTTCATCATTCGTTCATTATCATCAATACAGCATTGATGCAATGCTGTCAGCCCATCTTCATTAGTTGAATCAGGATTCACTCCTTTCTTCAACAGTCTTTCAACTGAAAGAGGAACAATATTACAGGAAACCCTGGCAAGACTGGTAAATGTCTGTTGAGGAAAAGAACATACCTTCTTCAATATCATTTCTAGCTGCTGCCTCTAAAAGCATAACACTGTCATTGAAAAAGATGTGCTTTAGCTTCTTGTTGACGTTGTTACGCCCCTTCTTTTGATGTCGCAACCAGTCTTTTTCTCGAGCAGCCCATACTTTGAGTTGCTGGATACGTCTTTTTCGAGCGAGGTGCAACCTTTCTTGGGTTGTCAAATGCTCCACATGGGCCATTTCGGCCACTAAATCGGCATGCTCCATTGTGAATACTGCAACAATCGTAACAGAAATATGAGTGCTACCTTCCTAGAATGTTTGACGAGGGAAATTTTGACTCTAAAAGAATGCACTCAAGGGAGAATCGAGCGGAAATGTCAACTGCTTTTCGAACTGGAAACCAACAGAGGAAGAAACAAGACTGAAGCTGGAGGTGGATCACCTGACGGCCTGACGGTACCGGACAACGGCCGCACTCAAGACACTCGCCACTCACAACTCACCTTATGCTATCGGGGGCACGGACAGGGAAAATGCACACAGTCACTCGTAGACCGCGGGGAGCACAACAGGGTCCGCAACACTCAGGCCCAGCATCCTTAGTTCAGTAGCTTTAGCTTTCTCCATGATTAGACCGTTCCCATCACAGCAACCTGTTCTTACACCTGCCTGTTGTGCTGAGGGTCCCGACCTACAACATTTTGCAACCCGAGGCCTGGCACACAAACTTGGCCACTGGCACACATACTAAAGGCCGGAACACTCGCCGCTCTACGCCTCTAGCCGCTCGGACACAACACACATGTTTTTGAGTGACACGGGACGGGGCTTGACATTTCGTTCGTTAGGTAAATAATCGGAACACGGTAACAGAACAGTGCCGTGACATTTTCCCACGATCATGAGGAATCGCGCGTTCGGATCACAGGTGTTTGGTATGAGAAATTACTCTTGCGGTGAGCGTCAAAAAGCAAAAAAGTACGGTTAGCATCATGGCCGACAAGCCGAACGGTGAGTACGAGTCGTTCATTTCTCCGAGCAAGGTTTTCAGTTGACGTGTTTGTGTTGCGGGGGGCAGTCCGGGGAGGTTCCACTCTTTATATTGAAACCATATGACTTGGTGATAAATTTTTGAAACCTTACATACGGCGTTATAAACACACACCAGGCCTGCTGCTTGTTCAAGTGCTGGTATTTTCTTGTGTTCAGTACCTATGTCGGAATCAAATTGACCCAAGATCTAACAGCACTCCTTTTTAAGACTTTGGTTAATCTCAATATGCTTTATCTATCATAATACTGCTTCCTGTATCTAAATCGAGCTTCATTCATGGATAGGTTAGTTGCACCACTGTGCTTGTAAACCTGTCAAGGACTGCCTGGACTACCCGCCCTATTCCTCTTACGGAGTCTCAACTTGCATGTGTTTTCATGTCAGCTGACTGAAGAGAGAATCTCTTAGTTTTCACACTTCCAGTTAAATTTGTGTTTCTTGTACACCAAATTTTTGTTATCACCTTTATGTTAATTGCCAGACGTTGTTGTCTAACTTGAGGAGTATTGTTCAGTGAGCTAATTGACCCTAATATTCCTCCTTTCAGATTTGCCTAATGAAGAGTCTCCTTCTGTGCCTGCAATAAAAGTGGATCTTGTTCCTGAAGTAAAACCTTTAGGTGTCCCTGAATCTAATGTAGAAAAATCAGAAAGCGAGCCCAAACAACCGAGGCATCGCAAGTTTGTCTCATGTATGATCCACTTCATTTATGTGTCCTGACTGGTTTGATGTAAATGGTTTTATTTTGTCTTACTGATTCTCTTTTTTAATTATTTTCATTTATAGCCGCACCATTACTTGGACCTGCAGGACCCTCTACAAATAAATATTTCTCATCCTTTGGTTCCAATATGAGTGGAGACAAGCCATCCTGTAAGTATAGTATTTCTTTTGATGCACTATCAGTGAAAGTTGCTTTATAACTTAAACAAGTGTTTCACTTAAATGTTCCAGCTTCATTTGGGGCCTCACCTCTTCGGGCTTCATTTCTTCGCCCTCCTCAGCTGGCAAGTCCAGAAAAGTTTGGGTCTGCCCCAGATGTGAGTGAAAACAGCTCCAAGTATTCGTTTGCTCTCAAACCAGCTCGCCTAAACAATCCATTTGCAAAAGGTGATTACTCTCATTTGTTGAATTATGACTTATTCTCACGATAAATGTTAAATACATCCCATACATTCTCAAATACTTTTTTGTCTATGTATAGCAACTGAAAATGAGGAAGCTACAGAGGAGGCAGCAGTACCGTCCTCAAGTGAAGAGAAGCCCTCCGCTTCTGCAGCCCAAGTATCCCAACCTACATCATCCCAACTCAAGTTTGTTCCCTTGGGTAGTCCTTTACCACCTTCGTCACCCAGGTAATTGTTGTTGTTGCTTAATTTTTTTTTTTTTTAAATTTTACATTGATAATCTTTTTTTGTCTGTTGAACAGAGTTACACCAGCTCCGCCACCACAGTCAGCTACTGCTTCTGCTGCCACTGGATTTGTCTTTGGCCAGAACTTACATGAGAGAGTTTCTGTATGTAGTCCCTGGAATTTTCATATGTGGTATCTCTGTTCAGTCTCAAGGAGCTAGTAGCAATAAATTTTTAAAAATTGTGTTTTTTTTATTGCAGGACACAGCTAATGTGGAATCTTCAGGAGAGAAGAAGGACGTTCCTGAAGCAGTTAATGTGAGCTGAAGCTGAGAATGCTTTTCGGTATTTGGATTAATCTTGGTGGATTTGTGTTGATGAAGTTGATCTTTTTCCAGAATGGTGCTTCCAGCTCAAGCTTGTTAGGAACCAACGGCACCACAGAGAACCTTTTCACATCTGTATTAAAGAAGGAACAAGGTGAAAAAAGCAATGTAAGTTCTTGTAGAATACTGGTATTTTCTTTGGTGCTAATTCACAATTTATATTAAGCCAAGCTTTAATTTTTTAAAAATTGTTTTGTACAACTTAGGATAGTGGAGGGGAGGGGAGTGCTGAACGTCCAAGCAAATCTCTCAGTGAAGCAGCTAAGGAATACGAAGAATCAAGAGCTGTCAAACGAAAATACGAAGAGGTTGCTGTTGTGACAGGAGAAGAGGATGAGTTAAATATTCTGCAGGTTTGTTGATTACTAGACACACAAAGCACTTGTTTTGTTAGATGTGATCTGAACACAACTTTTTTCTTTTAGATCAACTGTAAGCTCTTTGCCTTTGACAAAGTAAAATCTTCATGGGTAGAAAGAGGTAGGGGAAACCTTCGGCTTAATGACAAAGAGACAGGATCAGGTCAAAAGCAGTCAAGAGTCATCATGCGCACAGCAGGCAGCTATCGTGTAGTCCTGAATACCAAGGTTGGTGGTCATTTCTCATGATATTGGAGAACCCCATTTATCACTTTGATTATTTACTTTGTTTTTCCTAATTTCCTTTTTAGTTGTGGCCAGGCATGGTTGTAGAGAAAGTCAGCAGTAAAAGTGTTCGTCTCACAGCTATGGATGCGGTCAGTGGAGAAGTGCTGGTTTTCCTTGTTATGGTGAGAAATTTTTACCTTCGTAGAGACAGCTTGTCTTTAAATGAAGTTTGTTGCTATCTGTTAATCCTATCTTAACTCAATAGGCTGGTGCAAAAGATGCAGACTATCTTTTTAACTACTTAGAATCAAGAGTTACCACTCTCAAAGCATCATGTGCGGACAATGTGTCAAGCCATTTAGATGCATCTCGCAAAAACAATGTTAGTGGAAATGCAACAGAAAATGAAGAACTCGGGGACAATCAAGCCAAGAAAAGAGCAGTTGAAGGTACTCCTGAAGAGCTTGAAACTAATCACAACTCAAAGTCAGATGCTGAAAACAATGACACTCAGGACACAGGTGGAAATGAGGACTCTTGCTTAGGAAAGAATTCAGGTGTGTGAATGGAAAGTATCTGGATTATCTAATGTTTCATTTGCTATTGGAATGTTTGGTACATATGTGTATTTCCTGTATAATTTAACTGTCAACTATTTAATATTTGTATTAGCTCATTCTTAATGTCAAATAAGAGAATGTGTGTTTGCAGGTGACAACTCAACAATGTCATGAGTGGCCAAAGCACACTGGGGGCTTAATAAGTGTACTTCATCTGTGTTTGTTTCTTAACATCTGGTAATGCTCAAATATTATTTGTATCCATCACTTCTCCATGGTAATATATGGGCTATGTCATGTTCAATCAATCACTTCTTCTGACAAAGATTATATAATGTATTCCGCAAAACATGTCATGGGAACAAATGCTGTAATCACATTTTAAAAATCAAAAATAACAAAAAAAAAAAAAAAAAAAAACAGAAAAAAATGGCTTGTGCTGGATTAAAATTTAATATTGGCACCCTACTATCTTATTTTTATAATTGACACCTGTTCCCTCAGTTGCTGTTGCAACATCTCTCTTCAAAATTTATTTAAATATTTTTTTAACATTTGCAAGAACAAATGGAGCAGTTGGAAAAATATCCTCTAAATACTTACATGTAATTCGTACTTTTTATCAGTTGTACTAGAGGTTGACCTTATCTTATTCTTCGCCCGCGCCTCTGCCAACTTCTCCACCATTTTAAAATTTTGGAAGCCGTGGGAATGCTCTGTGCGTCCAAATCCAATCAACGTCATGACCAGTGGATTCGACTTGGCGTCTGAATGCATTTGCGCTCGGCTGCACCTGAGGGAGGTGACGTCACGTTGGCAGCCTCTCTTGGCGACCAATGTAGGCGAGGACGTGGTCGTAGACCAGCTCCTTGGCGTCCCGGCCGTAGATGAAGTCGAGGTGGTTGAACTCCGCGAGGCGGACTAGGCGCACGCCGTCCGGTGGGACGTTGGGAAGCCTCTGCGACAGCGCCTCCACGTTCTGCACACCGAGGAAGGTTCAACAGGCTACATATTTTCTGAGAAAGAGATTTTGTTTGATGCTGCTGGCGTTGCTTACCGACTGCACGGCCAGCACGTCGTTGTCCGCGTGGATGAGGTAGCAGGGCGCCGTGACGCGGCTCAGGTTGTAGGCCGGCGGCCGCACCTGCCCGTACCTGGCCAGGTTGCCGCGGGCCTTCAGGTCGAACTGCCTGAAGTCCAGCTCCTCGAGCGCCAACTGCTGGCAGTAGTGTTCCAGCTGCTTGAGCGCGGACCCGCCCGGGAAGTTGGTGAAGAGGGACGGCATCATGGTCTGCGGCAGTGTGTGCACACGTGTGTCGCTCTGTCTCTCTCGCACTAATGGGGTGGCCCGTAGGGGTGCGAGAGAGACAGCCGACGGAGTGACTGCAGTGAGCACTCACCACGTTGACCTGCTTCGAGTAGAAGCCGGAGATGAGGGACAGGAACGCGGAGCAGAGGGGCTGCGTGGCGGCGCCGGGGCTGCAGAGCAGCTGCTTGAGGGCGCTGATGAACGGCGGGTTGGGGAGCAGCTCCATGAAGCCCCTGTGCCTCAGGAAAGCCTGAAACACGAGCCACGTGGTCGTTCAGTTTCATTCCAATTCCGAACTCTCTGCCCCGCGGACTTGGTCCCAGCCGCCTTACCGGGGCGCCCAGGTCGCAGGTGACTCGGATGAGGTCACTGCGGATGTCCCTGACGAAGGCCACGGGCGCCAAGCCGACGAAGGCCTTCACCTTGGCCATGTACTCGGGCCGCTCGCTGCCCATGACGAAGAAGGTCGTGGTGCCCTGCAACGCCGGAACGGAAGGCTGGCGGTAACGCTCCGTGGGCCCGTGGGACGCCCCGCGAGTGCGACAGAGACAGAGGCCCTGACCTGGGAGTGCCCCACGTAGTGCAGCGCGGACTGGTTGGTGGCGGCCAGCACGTGGTCGATGCAGCTCGGCAGGTCGAGCACGCCGATCTCGTGCCAGGTGAAGTCCCAGAAGCCGGGGTCGTCGGCGTGCCTGTCCTCGTGGCGGCGGGACTCCATGCTGCCGCGGCCGTTGCCCAGCCACACGTCGAAGCCGGCGTCGTGCAGCAGCAGCGCTGCCGACGAGGAAGCCACTCACAGTGGACCACAAGACCGGCGCAGGCGGCCAAAACTCTAGACGCGTTTCGAGCTCCAGAGTCGCTAAACGGGACTCGAACCAAACGTGTGACCCCGACCCCACCAATGGATTCCTCGTTCGGAGAGCAATCCATTGGTGAGGTCACACGTTCGGCTCGAGTCCCATTGAGCGACTCTGGAGCTCAAAACGCGTCCACGATTTTGACCGCCTCCACCGGTCTTCTGGCCCACTGTGCCACAGTGTGGCTGACAGAAATGGGCCGAGTTCTTTCTCTCTCTTACGCAGGGCGCGGCCGCGGCCGAGGGTGAAGTAGTCGGCGGACGACAGCATGAGGCCGTGCATGAGGAAGACGACGGGCCGACGCGGCCGCGGGATGCGGAACACGCTCAGGAAGTAGCCGTCGGGCGTGCGGACCTCGTGGGCCTCCAGTGGGTAGCCGCTGGCCGCGACCAGGGCGCGCTGCAACCGGGTTCAGTTGGCACAAAAGGGCACGCACACGGGGTGGCGTGTAAGCTTGTTGCTGACTTACCGTCCCCCTAAAGTGCTTCCCCGGCGCGCCGCGGGCGGACTGCCGGTGCGGCCGGTACGCGTTGTCCAGGGCCAGCCCTTGGGCCAACCCACTTATCGCCCGAGCCAGACGAACCATCAAGTCGCGGGCATCGCGAGGAAACTCTGGAGGCCAATTCAGTGGCCGAAATAAGTGTCTTGTGCCCCATACGCAACTGTCGCTTCATTCCGAAAAGTGCCTCGTCGCCCTGTCTCTCTTGCTCCTCACGGCACCCTCCACGAGTGCGAGAGAGACAGAGTGATGCAAGCACTACTCCGGTCCGCACAGTGGCGCGTTGTGTACCTGGTCTCCGTTCGGCGTGGACCAGGGCGTCGACCGTGTCCAGCGTGGCGGGCAGCAGCAGGAGCAGCAGCAGCAGGTAACATGCCCCCTTCCAGCGCGCCATGTCCGTGCCTCGCTGCCTCGCTGCGTGTAGTCTTCCGGTCTGAGGCAGCAACACCGTGTTATTGGCATTGTAAACCGTTTGGCCAGAAATGAAATCGAACTGAAACGCCGCCATCGGTTTCATTCTCACTTGCTTGCGGTTGATTTTACGACTTTTGTTCGGTCACGGCCGTGCTGCAAGACCAAGGACCCTGGTTCAAGGACTGCGTCACTGTTAAAACTTTCCTGTTTGAAAAGTAAAAATTTACGATCTGTCAGTCGTGAGATCATTCCAAAAGACACGAACTCCCGCCGACCCGAACGGGTTTGCCGTCAGTTGTGTGTGAGGCAGCAACGACATGTCAATGACCTGAGGGTCGACGCCTCACTTGGAACGTAAAGACGTTCAAAGTCCAAAAATAAATCCCTTTTAAAGTTTCATATTTTTTGTTGTTGTAAAATTGGCAAACGGAGTCCACGGTTGGGTGGGCCGGACTGCATACAGAATCCTATCCTCCGCCGAGTGGGCCTTGTCAGCTCGTTCCACAGTTTTCTGGACGACAAAAATTTGACGGGTCTGTTTTGAACTTACTTGTGTCGAGGAGACGGGGAAAGGGCGGATGACTACATCGGGTGCCTCCAGTCACCACTTGCTATGCTTGCTCTGCTCCCGCCCTTTCTGGGACTACTCCGAGAGCAGCTCACAGAAGAACTGCTTGAACTCGAGGACCCTCCACGATTTTCCAGGACCCGCTCGGCTGGCAGGAGCTTGAGGCACTGCAGGAGCTTCTGCTGGAGCCCGGAGGCTTCCCCGGCCGCCCGGGACGCCGGCGGCGCGAAGGCGCAGCGCCGTGGGTCTGCGCTGCGGCCGCTGCGGACACGAGCCTCGAAAATCGCGCTCTTCGTTGCGATACTTTTGTTGTTTTTTTTCACTCGAGCGTCACCGAAGACAGACCCCCTCCCCCACTTCCCCCCTCTACCTCCATCGGCTGTTGTTGGTTCGCCTTATAAGTCAAGAGTCGGCTTAAAAATTAGCTGCAAGGCGCCATGCTTTGCGCACCCGGGATCCGCTTTGTTTGCCTCCTTGCAGGCGGTGGATTGCCTACCCACCAGGGGGGGTGGGGGTCACGTCACGGTCACCACGACTTGACACGTTGTGGCCTCCGCGTGGATGCACGGTCGCCTGCAAGTTGGAAACTCGCTTCAGGATCGAACTACTCGATCTCAATGACCTAGACCCGGCGGACTAGAGAGCAGGCAACCCGCGCTGTTATGGCTTCGCTCTAGCTTCACTCTACGCGACACGCTCGGAGACGAGTCCTTGGGTTCAAGCCCCGCCGTTTCCGGCGGTTGGAATTAACTCGTTTGGTCCGGACAAGTTCCCACTTCTTATTCTTAATAGCAGTGTCCTGACAGCTGTGTTATTAATTTTCGCAGTCCTTGCTTCGCTCGCCATTCGTTGTGTGAAATGAGGCCGAGAGCTGTACTACGCCTGTGCGGTGTACGCGTATGCTAGCTTTTCGTTTTTCAAACACGCCACAGCGACAGAGTCGCGGAGAGTCTACCATAGCTATGCGCGTATAATGGGGGACAGTAAAAACCGAAACGCCATCCCGAGCGGTCGGCGAGGCACCCGGTTTGCATAGAGATCATCATGCACTGCAGTTGAGGCCATCGCCTGCTTGGCGACTCTCATCTTGGGTGTTCTTTTATGCCCAGTTTCTGAGAAACATTTTTTTCTAACTTTGTTTAAGAGCGGTGCTTTTGGTCAGTTCATCCCTCTCTTGGCGCCTGCGGATCAGAGGGTAGGCCAGCCCGCCACCCAGGCGTGCTTTGCGGGACTGCCTACTCGCTACTTCACAGGCGCCCTGGGTCGTCAGCCTCCCCCTCCACCCCTCACTAGAGGCCTAAATACTTCGTATATAGGCCGTACGAAGTATATAGGCCTCTACCCCTCACCGCCTCCGAGCCTCAAATCGCGTCCTAGCAAGATTTGACCACAGTGCACAGAGCCTCCTGCCTGGGAACCTGTCGGTCAGTCATAAGTTTATTTCATGGCATCAAAATTGTATTGAGTTGTATGGATTTATTTACAAATTGAAATTAGAATCTTACATGACATAGATGGAATCATATTTACTAACTGCAATTAAGCGCTGCACTCACATCAAGTTAATTATTTTCAGCAGATAAAAATGTACCGTACTCAGGTAGCTACACAACAACTCTTGAAAATGAAATGATCATTGGGAACTTGGTAGCATTACAAAACACACTATTAGTTCATACAATTTTCAGTGTATTTGAGTTCAAAGTTTATTTTCTCCACCATCATAATTTTTTGTCCTAGTAGAAAGATAGAATATAACAATTCATTGTTCTTGACTTTACATCAGAAATGTCAAAACATGATAAAGATACAAAGTTTTTGCACTTTTAAGGGCCCAATTGACAGGCTGTCTACTTATTAAATGTCAAAACTGGGTGTAGCTAATAAAAATGTTTCAAAGTCTGATCAAATAAAAAGGTCAAGTATTTCCAAACAGGGTGACAGTTTGTCCCAAGGAGGAAAAAAAAGGTTGACATTAATTGCATCCCATCTCTAACAAATAATTATTGTGGTTTATTATTATTTACCACTTAGATATACTCCATCACCACAACTGAAGCATGCACGAACTTCCTGTACCCTTAGCATGTTTAACATAAGTCTTTCTCCAAAGTTTAATGATTAGTAAAACTTATTAAATAATAGTCAAACAAAACAATTGCTTCCTATTATACAAAGAAAAAAAGGAAAGGATAGGAAGAATATACATACTGGACTGATTTGCCAGTAACTGTTAGTTTTTGAGGGGAACATGATTAAGGTACCGGTATCTTCCTTTTTGTATCCTCTCCTGATGCTCATGTCCCCAACACAAATACAAATTTTATGCACACATCTTCTAACAAACAATATAAGCCTTGATGCTAAGTAGGAAAAGATTATTCTAATTGCACTAGAGATCAAGCCATAGTAGCCGCCTCACACTTAAGTATATCCTGTATTTCATTTTTAAAAACTGTAGTCATTAATTCCATATTATGATACCTATTTGCATAATTGAACTGACAGAAAGCTTTCCTTTCCATAGATGTCAGCAACCCTAGAGGGTTAATGTAAGCTAAAGGAACCATTGCCTGTATTCATGCTACACATATCACAGAGGAAAACCCACAATTTAGAGACGAAGTCAAGGCACCTCACCCTAACACCTTGTGTCTCACCCATCGGCTTCAAACGCGCTTGCTGCACGAAGAAGTGGAGGTGACTCCAAAGGAGCGCTCCCCTGGAACACCACTCGACTCCTGCATAATAGGCAGACACAGACACAGATGGGTGGGTTATTTGGCCTCAGCTCGAGCCTGAGCCTGCACATCCACATCTCGCTCCTCGTCATCCTGAGATACCTATAAACATAGGAGCATACGCTGAACCAAAAAACACAAGAGACATACATAAAAACATTTCTTTAGCATTTTCAGTTGCTCTTATCTTAAAATGAATAAACAAATCACAGTATAAAATAAAAGAAAAAAAATGAGAAAAAGTAGGAAAGATTAGAGTTTAACTTACTGGTTTGCCCCTGATATACATCGGCTCACTCTTGCCGAAAACCACATCTTCTGTTATATGCACACTGATAACATCAGATCCAGGAATTTCGAACATTGGTTCAAGAAGAAGGGTTTCCTACATGGGTCAAGAATATCTCCAGGTTAGATTGGGGAAAATTATAGTCATGACTAATCAGCATTGATTTATTTACAGACCATGATAGCTCGCAACCCTCGCGCTCCTGTCTTACGCTCCATAGCAAGTTTGGCGATGGCTTTGAGTGCATCTGGTGTGAAAGTCAAATCGACCTTGTCCATGCCTAGAAGTTTTAATTTATTGTATCAATTTAGTTGCTAAGAAAATCTTAAGAGAGGACAAGTTTTAATCGGTGTCTAAGAAATAAGACAAATAATTCTTACCAAAGAGCATCTGATACTGGGGAACCATAGCATTTCGAGGTTCAGTCAATATACGGACGAGTAATTGTTGGCTTAGAGAATGGAAAGCCACTAATACAGGGAAACGACCGACAAATTCCTAAAAAACGCACACATAAAACACAATTGTCCTTCAAAACACAAGGGAGAAAAAGAGTAAACAACAGAAATAAATTTACTGGAATCATGCCAAACTCAATCAAGTCGCGGGCTTCTACTTGTCTCAGGTACGCATCTCTCTCTTGGTTATCCTCCTCAGCAGATGTAGCAGCACTTTGATTTGCAACATCAGCCAGGGAAGCAGCTCTCCTCCCAGGTGATTCGGTTGCAGGGATACCAAAGCCCAAATACTAAAGAGCAACATTATGAAATTAAAATATTTTTTCAATACAACGTACATGCACATAAACACACACTCACTTTTTCATTCTTCCTGCGGCTAATCAACCTATCAAGACCATTGTATGCTCCTGATGCTACAAATAGAATATTAGTTGTATCAACTTGAACGGTTTCTCCTCTCAGTTTACGAGGGGAATTCCTTTCGGGTACATTCACAATAGTTCCTTCCAACATCTAGAAAAGACAATACAGTTTTTAGAATGGAGGTTACAAATGTGGGGGGTAAAAACACATTGACATAGATGAAAGTACTGTTACCTTCAGCATACCCTGCTGAACACCTTCACCACCAACATCTCGTAGCTGATGAATACCAGGGACAGCTCCAATTTTGTCTACCTCGTCCAGGAACACTATGCCTACAGAAATAAAATAGGGTTTAAGATAAGAAAATTTTAACATAGAGTACTGACAAAAATAATGACGAGCATAATACTAGGTAGACAATTTGGAATTGATTATTTTGTCAAGAAGTCTATTTTTCATCATCTTACCCATTTGAGCTCGTTCAACACTGTAGTTAGCATCCTGAAGTAATTTGGCAATAACACTTTCAATATCTTCTCCTACATATCCAGCTTGAGTAAGTGTTGTGCAGTCACAAATTGCAAAGGGAACATCCAAGCACTGTGCAATTGTCTGGGCCAAGAGTGTTTTTCCTAAAATTTTAAAAATGAGGAAAAAACAAAAACAGTTTTAGGTAGCTGGTCCAGTTGACAACAATCAAAACAAATATTTAACGCCACAAACTTTTAATATACCTGATCCAGTGGGACCAAGCAACAAAATGTTGCTTTTCTCCAAACGCAGGTCATGAGAATTACTGTCCAATATATCAGATCCACTATTTGCGCTTGAATTTTGACTTTTCTTTGGCTCAGACTCTTGGGGAGGAGGCTGCTGCTGGAAGCCCATACCAAAAGAGGATGAGCCAACACCACTTATATGAAGCAGGTCTGGAATAGAGCATTTTAAATAAATTGGGTGAACCAAATGTCCTCCACCACCCTCAACTTTTTTTTTTTTTTTTAATTGCAGATTAAATTACCTCTGTGGTTCATAGAATTTTGATGTGGAGACTGTTCCAAAGCAGCAGCATCACTGCGCTGACTCCCAACAGGAATGTTGTTGTAAATTCTTTTATAATGATTGTATACAGCAACACTTAAAACTTTTTTAGCGTGTTCCTGACCAACAACATGCTTGTCTAAATAGGCAAATATCTAAGAAAGAAGGGAAGTCCAGTTAATGAAAAATAGTTATGAAATCCTAGCTATTGAAAGAGTGCCTGTACCTGATTACTTGATAATAGAATGTCTTTTACCAAATCTAAGGCATAACAAACCTTTTTGGGAGGAGGAGGGGGCTTCCTTGAAACACCTGTTTTTGTGTCCTCTCGCATTCCTTGCTGCTCCTTCAATGTCTTTTTTGAATCCAGTTCTGATAGAACTACAAAGAAATGGTGACATTTCTCACACTTCACAAATCTGGTTGAAGCTAAGGACAAAGAAAAAGGGAAAAAAAGGCATTAAAAATATAATTAAAATATTGAACACTGCATTGTAAGTACATTTAAACATTTTGATACTTACACACAAATGTTTCCACATGTGTGCATGGATCTCCACACTTAGGACAACACAGCTGGTTACCACCATCTTTGCCACTGCTCGATGATGATGATGTAGTTGTGGCTGAGTTTGAGCTATTGCCACTACCCGATGGTTTCTTGGACCCATCTCCTGGCCCAGCACTGCTGTGTTCCAGACGAGTTGAACTCAATCCAGTGGTAACACAGCGGACAGGGGAGCAAGGGGCACTGCGAAGGATTGATGCATTTGAAACATTTAAGGCAGCGGAAACACTTGCTGCTGCTTGGGAGGCCGATCGATGCTGGGTCAAACAGATTGAACCTGAAAGGTAAAAGGAGATTTTTGTAAAAAATCACATCACTAAGAGTCATAGAAGAAAGAACAGTTGAGAGTTAACAGATTGAAGTTCTGCAAAAGACATTCAGAGAGTCTTACCATGATTTACACGACAACTTCTGGTTACAAGCTTTCCCGCTGTAACTATGCGGCACTGGACACTGCTCATGCTTGAGCTGGTATATCACTTGGCGCAAATATGCCTGGTTCCTCCTGAAACAGTGGAAGATGAATTTGACAGTGGAAGTTTCAGACAGGATTGTTGTCCTCCAAAAGATCAGTTTAGTGTATGTGACAGATTTACATACAACTAATGACAATGAAGGTGAAATTAACTTTGAGAAAAAGTAGAATGAGCCCCTCTAAACAAAGATAACATCTTTGCTAAACCATCTAAATTTTTGGAGAAAAAAAAAATTGCAGTGAGGAATCTTGCAGACAATCAGAGGTTATGGTCCTATTGCCAAGCAGACAGCGGTGCAAGGCTGACATTGAAGTACAATAAACAAGGTGACATAACCTACTCCTACATTGATCAAAAACAGAATGTGGCTAATGACAAAGAAAAACACAAAAAACCTTCTGTTTTAACGAGGACTTCTCCTTAAAATGAATTAACAAAATCATAACGCGAGGCACAAGTCAGCAAGACCCAAAATAAGGAATGAAACATCCATGATGATATGAACTTGAGATAGTGGTGCTTTGCACAACCAACGAATCGATTGAACCGTACCTGGTAAATTTTCTTGATATTAATTTGAGAGTACTTTGACAACAAAAGTGACAGAATCCTAACAGATTACTGTTTGATTTCGAAATATCCTACCTGCGTAATTGTATTTTGATGTTTACGAAAAGCTTAAACAAATCAACAGAAGAGGGCAGCAGTGGGCTGTGGTTACAAAAGCAATCTGCAGCAAGTTGTTTTGTTCTTTTTCTATCCCGTTCACCTTCCTTTTATTTGCTCGTATTCACGTCGCTCACAGTCTGCCCTTTCTTCGTGCAATCATTGAAAGCATCGCGAAACCCGCTGCTGCATTTCCAGATAAAGTAAATTTCTTTCCCAGACGTCTTATCGTGCCAGTCCCGTGCCTCGTGCCGGGAGCAGACGACCAATGGGCCAGCAGTCGCTATTCTCGGCAACCGACCTCACACAGCTGTCAAATGGGTTGCCTATCAATCAGGCGTTCCAGGGAGTTCCAGGGAAAGCCCAACCCGCAGTCCACAGGCTGAGGCTACACTAGACACATCATCCAAAAAGAGGTCTTCCATTAATCTGCGCGGTCTGTTTCTCGTTTGCTTCATTGTATGCATTTTACTGGTAATACTGGTAATTTGAAATGTTTTGAAATGGGTATCCTGGATACTGGTTTCGATTAACAATGAACACCTTGGTGGGACATACAAGACATTGATGCTCTGTTATGTATTCGGAACAAACTTCAGTCCTCAATGACTGAAGACAAATTTTGTTCTCTCATTGCTTTTTTTTTTTTCACATTCATTCATCCTCGCTTGGCGGATGGCGGCGAATTGAATAACGTAAATTTCTCATATGAATAGAAAGAGTAGCAAATAGCCTCGCACTTATGCTGCACATCCACACGCGGTGCCGGTGGAGCAAGCGATGTGTATCTCTTTGAGGGTTGAAGAATAAAAAATGGTTTCTTGTTTCATAAATTTGCTTTAATTTTTAGGTGAAGATTTCTGAAGACCGTTGGAAATGGTGGCGGTTCACTGAACCAACAGCGCTAGCGTCGCTTCAGCTGCTCCGCCTCCATGCTCTTTGCGACCTGAAGCGACGCTAGCGCTGTTCTCACAGGATACTTAAAATGTCAAAATATTTGGAGAAATATTGCCGTGAAGTGATGACATGACTATTTCGTACTCAAAATCAAGAGAATAAGTCCAATATCGTAGTGATCTTGCGAAGTTCCGCATGCGTCCGGACGTTACACACAGTCCGCACCTGTGGCTGTGGCGCTGGCGGCGCTGATGGCACCCCCATCCCCCATGTAGCTCTAGCCGAGCCGAAGAGGCGCTGTGCCATCGCCACTCCTGTCATTCTTTGAATCGCCTTCGTGCCTGCTTCGTGCTCCACGTTGACGTTTTGTGCCAATCCTGTGCCACTGAGCCTTCACCGCTGCTTTGTTCT